TGTGTGATTTTTCAGGCAGTCTGGCAGCCTGGCAGGAGCCCACTTCCATATGTAAATAGGGCATCCCACAAAGTACCTATCAGCTAAGGTTTTTACCACTACCCCGACAGTATAAAGTATCCTGGTTTTCCCTCAATAATTGGAGCTGGACCACTAAGACTCGGAGCCGAGCTGAGTCACTGAATAAAGGAGCTGTACCACTGACTGAGTCCTGTGTCTTACTGCCTACGATCCAGCCTTCCCAGAGAGGGCTGTCTCTTCATAAGCCAGGACTCACGGAGACCCAGCTTTAGCCGTCCCACACCTTCCCACGTGATCCGGCAGCTGACGGATCTCGTATCTCGAGGAAGTGCACGGTGGAAATTGGGACAGAACCCGACCAGGTCAGCCCCGGTAGCAGAGAGCCTCAGCGATGCGGAGAAGCAGGGACCCGCCAGCAAAGCGGAGAGCCAGGGACCCAAACAGCAGACGTGGCCCGCGGGACCCGCCGCACTCCAGCGATGTATGGGAGACCGGCACCACGCCCAGCAGCTGGCGCCCTGAGATCCCCGCCCCCCATAAGCCACCATATAGGTATTGGGAACCAAATCCAGGTCTGCAAGAACAGCCAATGCTCTTAACCCCTAAGCCATCTCTTCAGCCCCTGGAATGTCACTTTCATTTGCAAATAATATTATTCCACAATCTTTTAGTGATGGAAAACTTCTAGAAATCTTTTATTGAGGTACATTAAAGATCTATTTTTATTTATGTGTGTGTGTGTCCGTATGTGCATATGCCACATGTGTGCAAATGCCCTTAGAGGCAAGAAGAAGGTATACTCTGGAGCTGGAGTTACAGGCAGTTGTGAGCTGTCCAATGTAGGTGCTAGAAACTGAACTATGATCCTCTATAAAGCAGCAAGTACTCTTAATTGTGGAGTCATCTCCCTACCCCTAGAAATCTTATTTCAGTGCTAGTCTGAGGGCTCAGTGGGAAAAGGTGCTTGTCATGCAAGAATAGTGACCTGATTTTGTCCCTGGAACTCACAGAAAGGTAGGAAAAAAACAACTCTGGCCTCTGGCCTCCACATATGCCATGGTAGAAGAACCTACAGACAAATCTTTCTCTCTCTCTCTCTCTCTCTCTCTCTCTCTCTCTCTCACACACACACACACACACACACACACACACACACAAACTCAGAGACACACACTTCAATATAAAATGCCCAAATAACTACTTATGACATAAGGACCAGGTAGAACATAATATAATCTGTAAGTATCTATCCTGGTTTTTATTGTAAACTTGACAAAATCAAGAGTCATCTGATGGGAAGAGTCTAAACTGAAGGAGTACCCAAATCAGATTGGCCTGTCACCATTGTTTTGATTGCTGTTTGATGTAGGAGGGCCCTTCTCACGGTGGCAGGTGGTCCTGGGCTGCTTAAGAAAGTTGGCTGAGGTCAATGATGTTATGGTATGTACTAGCTGGAAGCTAGCTTGATATGATATCTAAAATTACACTGAGACCTTGGGGGAAAAAAATAAGAAAAAAAGCTGGCTGAGCACGAGTCAAAGGGAGTGAGCCAGTAAGCAGCATTCCTCCATGGTTTCTGCTTCAGCTCCTGCCCTAATTTCCTTCAGTGATGGATTGTGACTTAGAAATGTAAGCTGAAATAAACCCTTTCCTCCCCAAGTTGATTTTAGTCATGGTATTTATCACAGCAACAGAAAGCAAACTGAAACAGTATCTGATACTACATGCAATCTTATCAGCTTTACAAATGATTCTGACATAATTTATTCTTTACATTTCTACCACATAGATGAAAATGGTCAATGTTCTCCTTTTTTTTTTTTTTTTTTTTTGGTCTTTTTGAGACAGGGTCTCTTGTAGCCCCAGCTGGAACTCTGTAGACCAGGCTGGCCTTGAACTCACAGAGAGTGCCTCCCAAGTGCTGGGATTAAAGGCATGTGCCACCATGCCCAGCTTTCTATTAATCATTTTAATTTTATCTTCTTAAAAAATGTTTCCCTGGGTCAGGGATGGTAGCACACACCTTTAATCCGAGCACTTGGGAAGAAGAAGATGGTGAATCTCTGTGAGATCAAGGCCAGCCTGGTCTACATAGCAAGTTCCAGGCCAGTAAGACCTACAGGTTGGCCCTTGTCAGGAGCTCCGACAGGTACGGCACAGGGGGAGAGGCCAGGACCAGCCTGGGTTCCTCTCTTGGGGGCTGAGCAGGATGGTGTCAGTGACTCAAAAACCACACCGAGTCGGGAGTCTTGTCTAGGCAGGAACTCACTTTATTGCATCAGGCATTAGCTTATATAGTTTAAGCAAAAGGGGGTGGAAAAGGGGGTGGGTATAGGAATGTGTCATCTGGGGCAAAGACTGTGGGCCATTGGGAATTTACCATGCCGGTTGTTACTGCACAGAGGCAATCTTAGCTAGGGCTCTGCTGAGTCACGTCCATGCGGAAGTGACAGGCCAGAGACAGGTCGCTAAACTTTAGCCAGGCTTAGGAAATTATATTAGGCCTTATTTTCCTCCATGCCGTGTGTATGAGGGTCCCAAAGGCCCAACATATTCCTTTTATTTTTGTTGTGAGGGCGGAGAAACATAACCTGTCTTAGGTTGTCTCCCTTTTGGAGATCTTACCCGTCATTGGATGTCATGAATCTTACTCACTGCGGTGCCTCTCCATGTCCTGTCTTAGGTTGCCTCTCCTCAGGTGCTGAAGTTTCCTGTCTTCAGGTACCCATGATTACCCTCATGGCCCCTGTCTTTGGTTCATCAGTCTGGGAGGGTCTTACCTGTCTTCAGCTACATGGAGGGCAGGGGTTGGGCAATCATACGAGGATGGCCAATCGTAAGAGCCTGGCTCTTGATCAGCGAGCCTGTGATAATGAACCTCAACCTGATGTAACTTGATTGCCTCTATTCTCTGGTGAACAAATCACATAAGTTTGTTAAATATCCAGGGCCCGACAGTAAGGATAAGGAGAAGTGTAAGGAGGGGGCCAAGTAGTGGGAGGAGGTAGAGCAAGAGACCATGTAAGCCGGTCCACATGGGGTTTTCTTGAAACTCTCGCCTCCTCTTTTTTAGATCTTCTTGGAGTTTTTTTAATTTTATCCTGGACGATCCTGGATCTACTGGCATAAAAGCAGTATTTTTTCGGGGGGAGGTCACCAGATCAGTACTTTTCTTTGTATAAGCATTAGTTGTTTCACCCCAACATTCACAGGGTTTTTCTATATGTGCTTCAAGCCATCACATGACAGCATTGGGGTCTCCAAACCCCTGATCACTGGGCCACATGCAGGTCAGTAGCAGAGAGAGCACCAATGTCCACATTTTGTCCTATTTCTGTGGGAGAAGCAGAGGGACAATCCTCAGGGGTGAGGCACTCCCTGGAAGGGTTATCATCATGGTCCCCTTGTTGGGCCAGTACCCAGAGGGGCCTCTTTTCATTTGGGGGGAATACATACCCAAACTCTCTTCCTGCTGTAAGAAGTGGGTCTGGTCCCCTCCAGGCTCCAGTGAGTGGGTCTCTCCATTTGACCAGAATGGAGCTGTAGCTGGTAGATGAGGACCAACGTTTTTGGAAGGGAGACAAATACTTGTCTTCTTTGGAAAAATTTAGAATATTTAAGGTAAATAAGGCCTTTTTTAGTTTATCATGTGGGGGCAGGGACTCCCCCTTTTGATTTTGTAACCGAGTCTTAAGGGTTTGGTTGAATCAACAATGGCTTGTTCCCGAGGGTTATAAGAAATCCCCGTGGAGTGTGAGATTTTCCATGTTTGAAGGAACTCAAAGTCTTGCTTACAAAGCATGGGCCATTATCTGTTTTAATTTGATCAGGCAGTCCAAGGGTGGCGAAACATTGGAGCATGTGACTGATTGCATGTTTGGCCTTTTCCCCGGTGTGTGCTGTCGCCCAGCAGGCACACGAGAAGGAATCAACTGATAGGAAGATATATTTGAGTTTTCCAAATGGGGCATAGTGAGTGACATCAATTTGCCAGAGGTTGTTAGGCCAAAGGCCTCTGGGGTTGGTACCCGAATTTTGAGGAGGGGGGACCTGAAGGAAAGGTTGGCAAGTTCGACAGGTGCGTACAATTTTCTTTAGGCCTTTGACTGCCATGTGGGGATATTTATGTCTAAGCCCTCTCCAACTGACATGGGTCAATTGATGAAATTGGGTAGCCTCAGTGACTGTGTGACACTGATGTTAAGAGGCCAGTTGATCAGCTATTTTATTTTTCTCTGACAGAAACCCAAGCAAATTTTGGCGGCCTCTAAGGCATTGGAGGAAAATAGGGTTTACCCTAAGTTTAAGTAGAGTACGGGCCTGAATCATCAGAGGAGATATGGGGTTGGAGTCTAATCTAATATGGGCCTCCACTAGGTTGGGCAGTAAATTAAACACATATAGGCTGTCTGAGAACAGGCTGAAGAGCTCTGATATGGAGTCTAATGTCATGACAACAGCAAAGAGCTCTTTAAACTGTGGCGACCCTTCAACTTGATGAGAGGTCGATTTAATGGGCATGGGAGTTTGTCCCTGTTTTAGGGGAGGGTAGATGACCAGAGAGGCTTCCAGACATCCTCCATCAGTAAACACGGTTAGGAACTTAGGGTTGGGTTGAGGGAGGAAAAGTTTGGGAGGGTCCCATTCGAGCCTTGAGAAGGAGCTCATCCATTTGTAAGGGCCATAATGGCAATCAATTTTGCCCAGAAAACCCTCTAAGGCCAAGGCAATTCTCTCATTATTTTTTTGAAGCCAGGTAAAATATGTCAACCTATAGGGAGTGATAATGGAGTGGGGCACAATACCGAATAACCACACTGCTGTGTCCCTACCCTTGATAATGCAGTCGGCAATTTGGTTGGTCATGGAATAAACTCGAGGGGCTCCACCCATGGACAGATGGATCCATTGTATGGGCTCCCCCTCTTGTGCGAGAAGAGCAGTGCACAACACACTTCCAATGAAAAGATAAAGAGACATTGGGGTGTCAGGATCAAACATTTTTAAAGTGGCCTCATTTATGGACTGTTGGACTTTGGCTAGAATTTGTTGGCACTGAGGTGGTAAAACCACTCTGGGGGCTAAGTCAAGGCCCCACAAGAGATCAAATAATGGAATTAACTCTTCAGTAGAGATGGGTATCCAGGGCCTCAGCCAATTAATTTTCCCTAGTAATTTTTGGAGCTGGGATAGATTATAATTGTCCTGAATGGTGAGTTGAGGCTTAATGGGGGAAACAGCATCCATAGATAAAGTGGTACCTAGTATCTTGAAAGGGGGTATACTCTGAATTTTATTAAGGGCCACCTTAAAGTTGTTTTCCTGAAGAATGGTGAGACAGTCAGAGGTTAGCTCATGGAGACTGGAGGGCTTGGGGCTTCCCAGAATTATATCATCCATACAAATATAGAATAAAACATCCGGCCACCCCATCAGTGAGGCGAAAATGTGGGCCAAGTAATATTGGCAAATGGGGGGACTACTGGCCATACCCTGGGGCAGGACGGTCCATTCAAATCTTAAATCTGGCCCACGAAAATTGGTTGAGGGTATGGAGAATGTAAATTTTTTTGTATTGGGGTGGAGGGGAATTGAGGAAAAGCAGTCCTTAATATAAATAATAGCTAAGTGGTATGTCTTGGGGATTGCCAGAATCCAAGGAAGCCCCCTCGGGGGGGGGGTCCCTAAAGGCATTATTTTTTTATTAACTTTTTTTTTAAGATCTTGTAATAGTCTCCAGGAGCCGCTGGCCTTTTTAATGATAAACACAGGAGAATTTCAGGGGCTTGTTGATGGCCTTACGTGCCCCAGATCTAATTGTTGCTTGACCAGTTAATAAAGGCATTGAAGCTTTTGTGAAGGGAGAGGCCACTGCTCAACCCATACAGGGTCCCCAGGTGTCCACTGAATTTGGATTACCGAGGGGCGAGCAGTGGCCCTTAGGATTGGGGGTAAACCTGAGAATGTCTCTGTCTGAGGTGCTCGAAGTAGGGGTCGTCCCTATAGTTGGGACGGCTTTTCTGGCCTTCTCTGAACTGTTGTTGGTATTCTTTTGTGTCTAGGAGATCATTATAGAAGGCCTTATGGTCGGTAGTGATAAAGGCTTCAGCCTCGCCCAGAATGTCCTGACCTAAAAGGTTGGCAGTTAGGCCAGAGATGATAAGAGGGTGTACCTCTCCACGACTCCCATTGGGATCTACCCAGGGTAGCCAAGTAGCAGTTTCCCACAATGTAGACTGACTGCCCACGCCCAGTAAGGACAGGCCTGGCACCAACTGTCAGGAGTGTGGGACTTCTTTTTTAATCACCGTGTGGTCTGCCCCAGTGTCAATGAGAAATTTGAAGGTCTTGTTTCCTATGGTTAGGGTCATTTTGGGCTGCAAGCCAGGGATCAATGGGACTGTCCAATGAGTCTGAACTGGCTCATCCCCCTTATTTAACGGGGCTGGGGGGGGCCCCGAGGGGAGTTTAAAGGCTCACCCTTAAGGTTAAATTT